AATAACTCATTCAAAGCGTCATTCAGTCAGTTAGTCAGTGAAAAAGCTGATTGGTGATTGATTGAATGGACGAATGAATAAGTATATCAATACTGCAGAACTGGAATTGCTGGTTAACACTTACCTAAGATAGTTTTACCGGATGGGTTAGTTTTTTTCTGTGTGTGTGTGTGTGTCGGTGTGTTTGCGCAAACTGATATTGTCTGCTCGAAGTATGTGTTCCAAATTCTTTGGACAAATCAGTGATTCTTATTACTGAACCAAAGAAAAGTGGCAAAAAAAAGAGTGTATTTGAAAGAAGCGAATGAGTAAGTGAGAAAAGAAAGAGTTAAATAAGATGCAAATTTCTGCATGAATATTTTGGTTTCTTTTACTTTTTTTTTTTTCGCCTAATTTTTGGTTCAAAAACATTATTTTTCGTCTTCTTTAATGGATCTTTAATTCTTTTCGTTAGTCATTTTTTTTCTTTTTTTTTAATGCTTCTACAAATTTATTTTTTGACCTTTACAAAATTACTTTGACAATTACCTTTAAAAAAAATTTTGCTGTTTTTGAGTGCGGATCAATAGGTACAGTTGAATGTATCTGTGTATCTTTGATTAACAGAAGTGAAAGGAAGTAATATAGAAGAGGGAAAAAAAAAAGAAAAAAGAAATGGGGATAAGTTGAAAAGAGCCTAAAATTTGGCATTATCGCTTTTGTGACTGGTGAAACTCTTGTTTTTGAGGATTTTTTGGCACTGAAAGGTTATAATTCCATAATTGCTGACTACTTTTCTTCTTTTTTTTTTTTGGTGAAGCATTTTACAGAACGAAAAAAATTTTTGATTAAGTTAGATAATCATCTGATTATATTTATTACTTCTTCATTTGTAAAGAATTGATTTGTAACATATTTTAGTGGACGTACCGAATATCAAAGTATGGAAGAAGTGAAACGACGAGCACGAGGTGAACGTTCGTTTCAGAGGTATGAACGTGTAATTCCACATCTTAATGCTTGCCAGCTTAGCTTTATATACACTCCGTTGTCCACTACAAACTTTAATTTACAGTTCTGTATAAAGCGACTAGTTGTAAGCGAATTTTAGGCTGAACCAGGTTGAGGAACATGATGTTTGATTGATTCCTGTTGAACAAAAACATTGCGCTAATTGTTTGTATTTTATAGACTTTTGCATAACTAACAATGAATAGTTAAATAACTGTAGTGGCAGTTTTAGGCTTCACAGTGATACAACTCGGGTTTTTTTTTTTGCAAGTCTTGAGGAAAAGGCTGGTTCAAAAAAATAAATGCCATAGAATAGAAACTGTCAGTTGGCTTCAAAATTTGCTGAGAAGAAAAGAGAATTTTATTTCTTTTTTCTTCTTTCTTTTGCTTTATTTTTCTCCTAAATTTGTTGATCTGTCAATTTTTAACGACATCCGATTGTATAATGTGGTGGTACTTAACTGACGACAAGTTGCCGGATTGTTACGTCTTTCTGAGGCCAGAAATGTTTATCTAACAAACTGTTAATAATTGTTATTCTTCTTCATTGAATACCAATCGGAGAAAAAATTTTTTCATCAGTAAAATATATCGCTGCTGAAGTATAAAAATATGCGAAGATTTAGGTACGGTAGTAGACGATCTCGAGCCACAATCAACGGTTCATCATCGTCATCGTATGCTCCGTCAAATACTGGAGCTGTTGAGTCTCCAGATCTCACTTCACGATTTTTCAGGTTAGCTTTATTATGATATTTGTTATAGCAGGATAGCTGAAGTGTTTAGGTGTCGAGAAGTAATACTGGAAATTGCTTATGATATAGCTCGTCTGATGGATTCTTTAAGTGGTTTATTTTCTCGTTTAGCTCAGTCAAGTTTAAAAACTCTCCAGCATTGAGGGTCATTTTTACATCGAGTCTTAAGACCACTGGGCAATAATTGAGCGTTCTGAAAGTACCATTCTGGTTCTAATCTTGTGGCTCATATGACATGTTGCATGTCCCAATGAGCATTTTTTCGATTGTCTTTTTTTAAATGCATTTTACTGCAGCTTTATTCTTTAATAGACTTCTGAAAATTAGCAGAAATTTTGTCGATAACAACTTGCTTTATTATGCTTGCTACAGCATTTTATGTTTTTATATTGTAGCTTTATTGCTTTTTGCAGCTTCTATATATAGCTTAAGAATATGTTTCAGAAGAATTTATTATTTCTGATTTTTTTATGCTACTTTTCAACCTTTAACTTGAATTTATTGTAGTATTGATAGTTTTGAAAAATTAAAGAAAAAAAAAGCATTGGAAAAATGAATTCTTTAATGAAAACAACGTTTTTTTTGCGTAAATTTCTGAACTCTAAAAAGTTATTGCTTTTTTTCTTGATAAACTCTGACACAGCGGCTACTCAATAGAATTAAATAACTTTACCTTTTGCTATTACTTATCATTTTCTTTTATGAATCCGATCAATTTAAATCTTCTATTTTTGTCTAGTTGAACTTTATTGCTCAAGATGATAAGATCTTTTATAAAAGCCTTCATTTTTAATATTTTTCTGCATACGAGACAATTAGAATTTTAACTTAGAAATGGAATTTAACTGGTACTTGTTTCTTATACGGGATAATTATTCGTATTAACCGAATGCTTTTTTGGTTTTGCTCTAACATAAATTCAGCTTTTCTGCTTAGCCTTTATTTGTTATCGTTGACATTAAATTGCATTGTCCTTATCTGCTGCTAATACCTAAACAGTCGTCCGCAACACTGGTGTCGAAAGTTGTTAACAAAGAAGAAGGTAGCCGTTGTTAATTTGATCAGAGACGATAACGATGACAATCAGACAACCTCTAAGGATCGTCCATTGGTGATAAGTTCAACATCTACGATGTCTGAAGCATCTTTGCAGTCATCTTCTGGTGATCATCTCGATTCGCATCTGAGGTTTGATGGCTTCTATTAATACTTTTCTCTACGGTTTCCATTAACGGATTTGCTTCTGCTGCTTTATCTTGCTGTTGAGAAAACGGAAAAATAAGAACAACAAAAATTGAAGTAAATCTAATTCTTTACTAATTTTTAACATCAATTAATTATCTTCTAACTACT